GGTGCTTGAGTGTGAACGCTGACACTCATGTTCATCAGGTGGACTCTGTCTTGTGTAACAGTCACACACACACACACACACACACACACACACACACACACACACACACACACACACACACAGAGGGAAAGACAAGAAATCCCAAAACGCTGGTGCCAGCAAGTGAGAAACACCAACAAGCACACGTGTTGTGTTAGTAACCTCAGCCCTCTGTGTGTGTGCATGTGTGTGTTTGTGTGTCTCAGGGGAGCAGGGCTCAGGACTCAATTAAGCAGGCATGTGTGGAATGCTTTCAGGGGGAACGGGACAAGATGGCCATGGGGCCGACGCTACGCGCCTCTCTGTCTCGCATGCCCTTGATCTCAATTGGTCTCGCTTTGGCTGACCCGTAGCAGCGTGAAGGGGAGCCATGTCGGATACACACACTTCTACACACACACAAAGTGCCATGAAGGGAAGAGATGTCTTGCCTGGACAGACTAAAGAGCTCTCGAGGGTCCTCGGCTGCGTCTCTTGTGGTTTTCGCTCTGTCTCCATTGACACCAGGGAGATAAACGAGTCTTGGTCGCCTAATGAAGCATGTTCAATCCTCTGCTAGCTTGTAATACAGTTACTAATAGCCTATTCATGGGTGCAGTTCTTATAAAATCCTGTTCACTCATTGTTAAGGCTGCCCGCGTGTGCGGGTCATTTACAGTGATAATGTCCTTTTTGGGAGTGCTGGATAGACTTTATGGGTGCCGATGAAGAGGGCTTTGTCAGCCGTACAACAGTGTCGTACTGGGGTTGTCCTGGCAGTTTAAATTCTAATTTAATAAATGTCATTACAGGTTATTAAGCTTGAGTCTGCAATCCATGTCACCTGGGCTGGAGCCTATCGCAGCCAACACAGGGGGAGAGGCTGGAGGATGACAAAGGCAGGCATCCACACAAGTCAGAAAAAAGTATGTTGAGTGACTGTGGCTCAGGTGATAGAGCGGGTCATCCACCAATCAGATGGTCAGTGGCCCCCTGTCTCCTCCACTCTGCTGGTTAAAATACTGAACCCCACGATGCCCCAATGCATTGTGGGATGGGGTGTACTTGCAGGGACTCCATCAGTACCAGTCCGTGTCATCATGTCTTTGGACTGTTGGATGAAACTGGAGCAGCCTGGCTTAGGTAGAGCATGCAAACTCCACACAGAAGCACAAATGTGCTAACCACATCCGCCCATGATTCAACCACTGAATACAAACTGTTCAGTATCAAAGGATCTTTATTCTCTTTATATATATATATTAAAAAAAAGAGCAGCGTAAGTGAAAACTTACCAGTTTTGAAGATTTCATAGCGGAGCGAGAACCCCGCCCCCTGGTGGGCGTAGTCCGACACAAACTTGATGTGGAGCGCAGGCCCTGAGGATATGATCGGCGGGGGGGCGATGTTGCTGCAGTGCTTCCCCAGTAGGTCAGCTGACTCTGAGTTCCCGTCATGGATCTCTACATAGTCATACCTGCGACACACAAACACACCTCACTAAACACCTGGACAGAATTTCCAGTGGCGATTCAGAGCTCGGTCGCAGGCAGAAACACACGTTCACCAATCACGTTCAGCCTAAAATACCCGAGTATATTCGAGAACATCTGAAAGCATTACATTAGTAGACTGATGAGGTGTTTAGAGGAGGAAAGGAAATGATGGTTCAATTACAGGAAGAGAAAACTGTTAAATTCCCCACAAGCTGCTTTTACTCTGATCTTATCAGTTTCTTCTCCTTTCTTTTTTATTTGGCAGGCATCACATTGGATTTGACTGTAAAAAGGAAGCAAAGAGCAGATTGTTTGCATCTATAAGGGGCTAGAGGGACTTCTGAAAGCACAGTTACTATCAGCGGCGGCATGGGTGTCATCGCGATTCAAATAAATACAGCAGAAGAAGCTGGCAGTTCACATATGGTGCGAGATGAAAAGCACCACCTGCGTGAAGCAAAATAGAAAAAGAAACCTTTTTAAAATTCTGTAACCGACTGATCACAGACTCCAACAGCTGAGCTTCGTGGTTTGCAGAATATAAGTACAAACAAAAGGAAGGTGTGAGTAATATGGCGAGCACTCTTTAATTCTGCATGATGTCACACACAATGCAGTTTAGAAATCCCCACAAACAGATTCCCACTTTCACACAATATATTTACAAGTTTGATGGCTTTCAAAGCACAAAACAACGCAGCACTTAAACAACGATCGATCTGTTTCCCATAAATCACAAGATTTCTGGTTAAAGGGTCAAAGTCACAAACGTACACAAAAGCCAAACTGTTTGAACCGCGGACGGACACGAGGCCCTTTGATGGTACAAATTGACTAATGTGGACCGAATGACTCTGGTTTACGTCTCGCAGAAATGTGAGTGGATCGTGTTTGTTGCTCGGCTTGTTTTCAAAGACAAATCCACATTTTCAAAAGGATTTAGGTCATGTCTGTGCTGTTGCCTCCGGCTGTGTTAAATCCTTGTGTTTAAATAAGACAGGAAGCACTGCGATACACAATTAACTACAAATAATCAAGATGATCAACAACTAAATGAAAGTTTCCTTGTTTTTTCATATCTGGTACTTTTTAATAGCGGCGTCTCCGAATTTCACGGCTATTTTCAATATTACACATTTATTTGCTACAGATCAGCAGACGGGTGCGAGCAAATGTTTTTTCCTCTGTAAAACGCTGGTACTGACTGCACATCTATTTTTATTCTTCTTTCTTTCATGTTTTCTGAGCACAAATGTTACGGCCCATCTCCGGAGCGGCAGCAGGAGCGTTGCCTCTGTGTCTGAATACCAGAGACACACCTGCCTGCCTCTAAAATAGCTTCCTCAATACAGTTTCCTCCAGCAGCTAATTTTCTTACAGCAAAACAAAACTCTGGCTGACCTCCCGCTGTAGATGTTTGTCCATCACATCGCCTACTTCTGACCACATGAGTCACATGAATTGCTTCAACACTGAGCTTTCAACATTTTTCTAAAGTAATCAAATGGACACGCTTCCATTTACCCTGGAGTTTAAAAGGTTTATACATTTCAAAAATACTTTACAGTGGAAACAGAAAACCTCCCAGTGAGCCAGTGGATTAATGGATCATGTACCACTGCATATTAAACATGCAGTACAGACATATTAAAGTTAAAAACATATATAAGGCCAGTTGGTCTTTTCAGTATTTGTCAGCATGCATTAGTAATGTGCATTAAAGTTACACTCATGTTGTTACTTTGTTACAAACTTTCCTCAGCTCTCTGCAGGATGCGCACACATCTGCACTCGCGCTATGATCAGCTGATTTCAGTTCCCGTGCAGGAAGGAGTGAAAACTACAGCGTGGTCTACAACTTTTAAGGAGTCATGACGTGAGAATTATTTTTATTTTTATTGTATGAAAGGACAAGAGTGTGATGGTAAAGTGCAAACTGCATCCAAAGAACCCAGACTGGTGTTAAAGCAGAGTGTATGCAGACCCCAGCATAGCAGCCAGAGCCTGTAATCCATAGGTGTCAAACTCTGGCCTGCGGGCCAAATTTGGTCCGCAGCCTAATTACATTTGGCCCGCGAAGCCATACCAAATTATTATCAGAGCTGGCCTACTGGTATTATACAGCTAATATATATATTGTTTAGTATTAAGCTTTGCTTGTTCCATATTCAGTTTTTCAGCAAAACTTGTTTGAGTCCATAAGAAAAGATTCATTCTTAAATCTGGAGGAAGATTTTTTTTTCAATAAATATTAACGTTAGCCCGCGACCTTGTTCCAGTTTTGAATTTTGGCCCACTGTGTATTTGAGTTGGACACCCCTGCTGTAATTAAACAGGTAACGATGGCCTCCATTACAGCCTGTAAATGCTTCTGCAATAGAAATGCAACGACCCTAAAAGAAAACACTAGAAGAAAATTCATGTCCTCAGAAGGATAGGGATTCGTGTTGGTGTGTCGGACTGTAGACTAAGGTTTATATTGTTAACTTCATATGCTATAGTGCATTACAGGCCATGGTATGGAGTAATGTCACGTAATGTAACAGAGTACTTTTTCCAGGAAAAAATATCCATAAGCTTTGTTAAGAAAAACTCCGATGCTGGCCATGAATGCTGCTGTTTGTGGACAAAGAGGCCAAAACACATTCACAGATAGATGTTTTTTGTCATTTAGAAGGATAGTGATAACTCTACGAAAACTATTCAGCCCAGACTCTAAACCTCATAATGAGGTGCCAGGATTTAAGAGAGACACGACCTCTGTGGTTGAAAAATGTGTGACAACGTGACAAAAACTCCAGTTCGCCAAATGGGCACTCGGGGCCGGCTCCATGCACTCCCATGTTAAAATACTCCACTTTAGAGGAGAAAGGCCTACAGACTGATACAAAAACACGACTGTGTCTCAGGTTAAGTGTACTCACAGCATGTCCAAACAGTCTCTGCAATCCCATCCATCCATTTTCTTCCACTCATCTAATGCAGGCTCACAGCTGTGCTGGAGCCTTTAAACTGCAATTCCAGTGATTTAATACTATGTTACTTAGCCCTAATTAACAACTACAATGTTAATTAGGGCTAGCACTCATACAATGTATAAATGTGATAAATGAACCTGATAAATAAGCACTTCCCTCATCCGAATATGATTACTTCTGGTTCCAAATTTAAAACAAATACTAAAATAAATGCTAAAAGCTTCCAAACGGGGGTTTGCTAGCTTACAGGTGAAGTCAAGGTGGCTGTGTCCATCTTTTAAGTACAGTTTATGCCTTTAACTCTAGTCAGCGCCTTCTAGTTTGTGCTCCTTCTCATTACTTGACACATCCTGCCATAATAAATAGGTGGTACATTTTTTACAGAGTAACATTTTCAGCATGTTATACTCTCAGCGAGCATTTTCCAACATGTTCATTCCCCATAACATTTGCCTTGTACAATAAACCCCACGAACAATAGCGATGAAGAGCAGTGTGTGAGCGTGCAGTCTGACAGGTGAGCCACCTCCCAACATAATGAGGGTCACACACCTCCCACTCTCCCATCATGCTTTGTGAGGAACTAACACAGTTATGACGCGAGCTGTCAGCGCACTGCGAGCATGTGTGCGCGCATCTGTGTGTGTGGATGCGCGCGCACGTGTACGTGTCAGAGTTCCTGTCATATTTCCCCAAGAGAACGCCTCATTGTGGTGACAGTTTCCTCCTCCCCTCTCTAGCACTGACAACTTTGTCTAACAGTTACTCACACCAGCACAAGATCTCCTTTTCTCTCTTTGTTCTGGCCTGCGCTGTTTCTAGTGATTTCTATTCTTTTCTTTCTACTGTCATTCTTTCCTCTCTTCCTCTGCGTGGCTTGTTTTAATGTTGTCAGGCACATAACCAGTGGCTAAGAGCCAGTGTGTGGGTAAGAGAGAAGAAGCAGAGATGGTGAAGAAGGATTAGGAGAGCTTTTACATGTTTTAATGTTTAACTCCGCTTCATTAATTGTACTTATAGGGGAAAAACATGAGATTACGAGCGAGATACATAAGCAGGTGGCAAAAAAACAAAACAAAAAAAACAAGATGATAATTTTTCCGAGGCCCAGCTGTCCTCGAGCCGGCATTATCCACTTTTGGAAAGCATTTTGGAAAAAGCTCAGTTTTCAGGTGTAGAAGCAGGGTCAAAACGAAGAGGAGAAGATTTGAGATTTAGCCGGTGCAGCGTGGATGTAGTCTGGGAGGGAACATGACACTGCATTCACTCTGCCAGCTCCACACCTAAGACAGACAGAGACAGGTGTGCTTCGTGCCAGCCGTCCTCCCTCCAGCTCTGTACTTACACGACTACTACACGCTCGCATGAGACCTGCTTCCACGCACATGTAAACACATGTACACACACAGAGCCTGTGGCCATGCACACTGATCTATAGAAGGGTTCCCAATCTGTCTGTGTGTAGGAGGTTCACAGCTTCTAACAAACTGTTTAATCTTACCCCATCACCCCAATACATTTCACTGCAGGCCAATCAGTGATGTACTGAGACTTGCCACGGGGAATAACACGAACCCCAAATGTGCTTCTCCCACACTTCTCCCTCAAATGTATTTGTTAACGAGCTGTTTGCATAACATGGGAGGGAACACTGGAAACCAGGACAAGTGAGGATTGTGAGCACAAATTGAGCTGTGAAAGAAGGCCTTAAACCACCTCTAACATTTGACATTCTGAGAGATTTGTGTGCCTGCGCTTGTTTGTGTTTTGGGGATGTTTCAGAAACGAGAGAAGCCAAGGCTTTTGCAAAGCCTGCCTGCCGGGAAGCAAGCGAAAGATTTGGATACAGATGAACTTCCACCCCTGATTCTTTTTAATTGCCTTCCACACATTCCCTCTTTTTGGGTTGGGAGTTGTCTTCTTACACCTGCACGTTTCTTTCAAACATCAGGGGCGCCCTTAGCAGCAGACGGAGCGTCTGTGCAGCTCACACGGCCGGTGAC